TTCATTGTTTATTTGGCCAGTCGGCTAGGTAAGTGCGCTTATTAGTTCTTTATCGTGGTCGTGAATTATTAATTTTGAGAAATAGTTATCTTTCCCTCATCATATTTTTACACCATCCAGCCACCATCCACCAAAATTAAAAAAAAGAGCATCAAAAAAATAAACGTATTTACAGCATTTTGAAATTTTTTCAGTAGACTTTCAAAATGCTGTAAATACGTTTATTTCAAAATGCTGTAAATACGTTTATTTCAAAATGCTGTAAATACGTTTATTTCAAAATGCTGTAAATACGTTTATTTCAAAATGCTGTAAATACGTTTATTTCAAAATGCTGTAAATACGTTTATTTCAAAATGCTGTAAATACGTTTATTTCAAAATGCTGTAAATACGTTTATTTCAAAATGCTGTAAATACGTTTATTTCAAAATGCTGTAAATACGTTTATTTCAAAATGCTGTAAATACGTTTATTTTTTTGATGCTCTTTTTTTTAATTTTGTCTACTGAAAAAAATTACTTAAAATTTTTGCCTTTTATAATTCATTAACTGCCCCCCCCCGGCCATACCCTAAATTACAGGATTTTCACAAAGGGTGGTGTTGAAAAATTTTCTGCTCCTTAGGGGGGCGGCAGCTTCGAAAAGGTTGAGAATCACTGCTTTAGAAGATAGCTCTTTCGCTCCGTCCTCTTTCCCCTCCCCTCTCAGTGGTGAACAGAGCACACCACTGAGAGAGGGGAGGGGAAAGAGGGAGGAGCAAAAGAAAGACAGAGCAAAAGATCTGTCACTCTTTCACTCCGTCCTCTTTCCCCTCCCCTCAGCGGTGAACAGAGCACCTGAAGATTTGAGGTCTGTGCCTGCCCACCGCTGAAAGGGGAGGAGAAACCTCCCAGTGCTGGGCAGTTATGGAGCTCAAATCCTGAAGATTTGAGCAGTGTAACTGCCCAGTGCTGGAAGGTTTCCCCTCCCCTTTTGGCGGATTTGAGCTCCATTTCTTCAGACTGGTGTGAAGGAACGGAGCTCTTATCCTGAAGATCTCCCAGTGGTGTAAAGGAACTTCCCAGCGGTGTGAAGGAATGGAGCTCAAATTCTGAGGGTTTCCTAGTGGTGTGAAGAAACCTCCCAGCAGTGTGAACTGCCCACTGCTGAAAGGGGAGGGGAAACCTCCCAGCGCTGGGCAATTACAGAGCTCAAATCCTGAAGATTTGAGGCCCGTTCTTTTACGCTTCTGTGTCCACTTCACTTGCAATCTTCTCTGCCGGCTTCCAATGGGGAAGCCAGCAGAGATGGCAAATGGTGATCACATGATTGTGGGGTGCTTGGCAACTGGTCATAAATGTGAACCATTTGCCAAGTGCCCAAAATGCAGCCACATGACCGTGGGGGTGCAATGTTTTACAGTGGCTAGAAGTGCTTTATGGGCCGTAAAGCACCCTTTTCAAACCATCATTAAATGAAAGATCGTTAAGGGAGGACTACCTGTACTAGATACTTAGTTACTCCAGCTTGTTATCGCTTACAGTTAGAGGCACCTGGCCACAGGAAGGCTTTTTCCCTCACCTACTGTCATACTCTCCCCTCTGCAGTTTTAGTAAATATAAAAAAAAGTAGCATTGAGTGAAAGGCTTTATTCCTGTGATTCTAGAGAGGTGGAAACCATGGAACATGTACTTCTTGATTGCTCTTTTATAGAGACATTCAATCTAGATTTATTCTCCCTTTGATCAGCAGATATCCTAATTGCTCAGACTCAACTTATGCCCAGATGCTACTTACAGATTAACTTTCATTTATTACAGTGCACACAGCTAAGTTTTGCACTGATGCATGTAAAATCTGCCAGACCTTGACAGCTCAAGCTTCTGCTATATGTGTGTATTTTATGTAATTTTAGATATTGTCATATTTTATGTAATCTTAGATATTATATTTACAGTCTATAGTTAGATTATCTTTCTTTGACTTTACTTATGAGTCTTAGTCTGCTTTATAGATGTATTTCAACTTTGGTGATAAATTTTAATCTATTGCTTTCTTAAGCAACACTGTTATAGGTGGTTATAGACCATTTGTGAATATATTTCTTGTACTGGTCTGAGACTGCAATAAAGGCTGACTGATGAAAGTATTAACAAACTCCTGAAGATAAACTACAACCTACACCTAATGACCTCAGCCATTTAATAATTCCTACTTGCCTAACTCCATCTTGTATTCTGTCTATTGGTCATGGTACAGCATGATGGAATGTTGGAAGCAGGGTCTATATAGCACACACCATTGCTACATTGACAGGAGAGGACAATCAGTTCTGAACTCTTTTCCTCTCTTATTGTTGCTCTTTACCCAATTGCATATTATTTGCTACATTGCAATTCAGTCAATAGACTGGACTCCATTGAAATAATAACCACATATGTTGCTATGGACCAAAGGGGAATCTCAGCCATAAAGATCCTTTATTAGTCAAGAAAGAGGTGTAGATACTAAAAGTTTGGCAAAAATACATACATACATACATAAATGTTGCAAGTCTATGTGTTATATCTTATTTTCTTTTCTAGGATGTATTATTAAAAAAAATACCTGGGTTGTGACAAAATCCAAGGATGACCATTCTTATGCAGTTAAAAATGTTTCACCAATCTCAGTACAAGCTGAAAGAAATACTCTTATGGATTTTATTCTGGATGATATACAAACTGATGAGGACAAACTGAACAGTAGTCTCCTCTCCTCAGAATCTACTTTTATGCCTGTTGCTTCAGGGCTGTCTCCAATGTCTCCTACTGCAACAGAACTGAAACTTCATGGAATTGGCATTGATGTAGAGGATATAGAAGATGTGGGGGATGCTGATTTGGAATTTACAAAAGAGCTTAACATACAAAATAAAGAAAAGCATAAAAATGCTTCTGTGGTTATGGGGAAGTATGCCCTCAAGTCAGCAGAGCTGGTAGAAACTCAAAATGAAGATCAAGACGAAGATATTTTCCCCATTGCTTCTTCTTCAGTAGCCACTGATATTCAACCTGGTGACATTAGCAGTTACCAAGCATCCCCTGAAGACAATGTAAAGTTCAGTAACCTCAAGCAATCTCATTCACTTGAAGAGAATGTTATCAAAAGTGTTTCTGTTGCCAGTTCTCTAGAACTACCTACTGATGCATCAGTTACTATAACCCAAAAGAAAGATAAGCTTTTAGAAATGAATAGAGCTGCCACCAAGCTTCAGGCTTGTTGGAGAGGATTTTACACAAGAACCTTCCATCCCAAAGTCAGAGAAGCACGCTATGAAATCCGACTCAGCAGAATGCAGGAACATATAATTCATTTAACTGAAGAAGTTCAAAAGTAAGTAGGAAGTCAAGTAAACTAAGATAATAAGAAGGAAATAAAATTTGCTATAATTTAGATTTGAGATCAATACATTTTATTTGCAAACAAAGTCATGAGTATAGTTGGGATGGTATAGTTGTTTCATTCCCTTCAGTTGGTGAGCTGTTCTCTGATCTCCAAATGGAGGAAAACTTACCAACTTCATAAAATATAATATCCTTTGAAAAAATAATTCCTTTGTTAGCATAATCAAAGGGAAAAAAGACGTATTTTCAGTCTCTAGCAAAGAGTAATTATGCTGTATTATAATCAAAGGGAAAAAGACGTATTTTCAGTCTCTAGCAAAGAGTAATTATGCTGTATTATAATCAAAGGGAAAAAGACGTATTTTCAGTCTCTAGCAAAGAGTAATTATGCTGTATTATAATCAAAGGGAAAAAGACGTATTTTCAGTCTCTAGCAAAGAGTAATTATGCTGTATTGTTATAAGAACTGAAGTTGACCAATTTAATCAATAAACCGATGTAATCTTAAATATATTCCCTTTCTAAAACTCCATTCTTGGACAGAATCTATTCTTACTGCAGTAAATAGTTATATTGTGGCAAAAGTGGTGATCAAAATGGTGATCCAAGTGGTACCACTTTTAAAGCTGTATATATATATATATATGTAAATCATTTGCAGGTTAAGAAAAGAAAAAAATGAAGAGAAGCTTCAAAGAATTGTGCAAGAGGAAGCTGTCAAATTCCTTTGGGATCAGGTAAATATAGTTTTCTTAAATAGTTTGCTCACTTTCTATCAATAAAAACTAGAACATTCTCTTGAAATCTTACTGTGTTTTACAGTTGACCCAGTTAATTCTCTCTTATGTGAAATGACTTGTTGTTGTTGTTGTTGTTTGTTGTTGTTTAGTTGTTAAGTCGTGTCCGACTCTTTGTGACCCCATGAACCATATTGCGCCAGGCCTTCCTGTCCTTCACTGCCTCCCTGAGTTTGCTCAGTTTCATGCTCAAATGACATATTACAATTATGCAATTACATATGAAATTAAATATTATAACTTTTTTCTTTTGTGGTATATATAGGTTAAATCTATCCAGGAATGGCAGCTTTCAGTAAACCAACATCTAAGTAATATCTGGCAAAATGATACTCCTGCATCTAGCTTTCTGGGTCCACATGAATTATTAATACAGTCATCTAGAATAAATCAAGAACCTTCTCCTATTGATAGTTCAACCTGGTTAGGTTCATCTGCTGAAACCTGTCATCAGAAATGTTTACCAGAATTTCCTGATTCAGGCTTCCATTCCTGTGTGTCTGACCAAAATATCCTTAATGAGTTGCAGAACTCTGAAAAACATTTGACAGAAACAAATGAAGGCTTTTTAGGGAATTCTCTGGAAACAGTCAAACCCTGTGAAGATTCTCTTTCAGGATGCCCTTCTGATGCTGAGGAGATCCCAGTTGACCACAAGGAATATTGTAAAGAGAGCTTGAACAATAATCAGAACAGTACTCTTCTCCAACAGTATTTAAAAACAGTTGAAGAACTAGATGATTCTGATGAAAAGACAAATTGCAGCAACGGAACAGAAAATTGTAAGACCCATGGAGCTGTTTCATCAGAAGACCAGGATGTCTTATGCAATGCTGTACCAGTCTCTCAAGATGCATTTGCATTAGCAGAAGAAGGAATTGACACATTCAATCTGAATGACAAAATGGCAGAAAAAAAAGAGACAGACTGTGATTCTTCATTGTAGACACTTTATGCTAGGCTATCTGTATAGCAAGCATAGACGTACAGAAACAATTTAAAAGCCAAATTAACATTTTTTGTTATTAGGCAAATTTCTATACATTTTTGGAGACTTGGGTCCCTTTACTTTTAAAACATGGGTCATAAAGAGGTTTGCTAATCCTCTAACTTTAGACTGATACTCTATTAAACTATATCAAGTTAGGTTCAAATAGACATGGTAACTTACATTTTATGTGATTTGGTTATAACAGATTTTTATGAAATACAATTTTGAAGACTCTAAGTACTTTCCACATTGCTGTTATTGTAGCCAAACTAAATAAAGCATGCATTCTTACTGTAATATTCACAGGGAGAAATATAAATATTTAATTTGAGGAATAAGGGCAGTATGCAGAACTTTAGATATGAAGGCACAAGCATGGCACCTGTCTGCAACTCCTTAAAGCAGACTTCAGGTTAAAGAATTGTAGGCAAATGCTATCTTTGCACCCCTGCATAGTTTGAAGCATCTTTTTGCCTTCAAATCTGAAGTGCTATTAGCCCCACTGGCCACACAACATATACACAGTTAATATAAAATTGATTAATTAACAGTATGAAAATGTATGCTGACACTCAGGTACTAAGTTGTAGCTTGGAAATTTCATTTGCTACTCTTGCTCCATGTATAGATCATTTTGTTTCTTAACAGTGCAAGACAGTTTATTCACCAATACACAATATGTTTTTTCTACAAACATGACTATTGAGTTCCTTACAGCCTAGCCCAGCCTGTTATCATAGAGGACTATTTTTATGATGTCATTTTTCTCTGTTTCATTTGCCAAAACAAATGGGCAAACAAGTGGGAAAATTTTAAAAAACATGATGCAGCAAAACCTGTCTTTCAGAATCTGAAGAGGAGGGAGAGGAGTCAACCTCTCACACTGCATTCTCATAACAATAGAAACAATTTGCCCATTTTACCAAGGCCAGAATGTGTCTTAAGACAGTATATGCTCAATTTTATAATTAAGTAACAACGAAATGAAGTTTTTTTTTTTTTAAAGTGGATCAGCATTACATGGCTATGGCTGCTAAAACTGTACAGAGTAATTGTCTAATGCCATATCTGCTTGGTAGATTACTAAGACATAGAAGCCAGTGGTTGTGTTTTCTAGCTACTCAAGGGAGGATTGGCTGCTGCTTATCACCATATTTTAGTATAGTTACTGATATTCATTCTGGCACTCATGGAGAATGCCTGTGTTCTATTGCTTCACTGTGTAATGATGAAGAAAGCAAAAATTATTCTTTGCAGACACCATGTTTCTGCCAGTAAATGCTTTGAATGTATGTTTTCATTATTAATAATAATAATAATTACTGTCACTAATAAATATTTTTCTATTCATAAATTCTGGAATATTGAGAAGTTGTGACTTTGTCCCCAGTATGTTTAAGTATAAAATCAAGTATATACTGTTCTTAGCTTAATGAGTCAATTGCAAATATTGCCTTGAGAAATTATTTTGCCAAATACAGAGATAGGTTTATCGTGTCAAATTTAACTTCAGCTTGATACTCTGTTTTGGAATTGAAGAGTTTATACTGTCAACCTTAAATTAGGAAACAAAGAGTAGAATAAATTGTTTTAACTGAAGTATTGCTTAAGGGATCTTAAACTTTACCACAGCTGCCTTCCCTCAGGATGACCCATTTCATTAAAATATTTTGGTCATTCACATATCATTTTCTCTATCTTTATTGTAAAGTGTCATAGAATGCATATATGTATACAGTATATACATGTTCAATATATACATGTATATATTGTTCATAGTCCATATAAAATTAATCTCTGTATGCAAAAGTAGCATAAGTCCAATATACTGCTTAAGCTTGTTATAGAGACAAGTGGTTAAAAGCTTATTCTTTTTTGGAGGGAGAAATCTAAAAATACCAGGAACATTGCAGACTTATTCTTTAGAAAATATTATTTCAAAGGAGAAGTTAAACATGCACTTAAACAGATGGAATTTAAAAGATCTTTATTTCACCTGTTGTTTCTCTTGAACTTTATATCTGTGTCTTTGTAAGGCTTAATGTTTGCATCTCTTAGTTATAAACAGTATGTTCATGTACATTTGCATTGTAGCTGGCTAAATAATATTGTCTGTTCTATAGAAACTAAGTAGGACTCCATACTTGGAGTTTTGGAGAGGTGCAAATAATTATTTTGGTCCAATCAAGCACAATTGTTCATTGTGTATTGGAATAAATACAGGATAAACGTTTTTTTTTTCTTCCTGTTGTGAATAAAAAATTGTGAAGTTAAAAGGAATGCATTGTGATTGTGAGGAAATTACTATTTCTGTGTTTTGATGTAGGTATTGATACATGGATATATATATTGCTGCAATATACTTGAAAAAGATATTGAAAAAGCGACATCTTTTGCAAGTCTTAAGAGTTCATGAGACCAATTTTCAAATGGTCTCATGAACTCTTTAAGTGTATATATACTATGTCAATGTGTAAAATCAAAAATACATTAACACTCATAACATTGGAATATGTACAAGTGGGTAAGCTTTCTCAGCTTTTACATATTGCATAGTTTATTGCACAAGTACATTCCTTGCATAGGATATAAACATGTTTTATGACATTTTGAATATTTCCTATGGTTATGAGTGGTATTTTTGTTTGTTAGCAGAAAAGGTTACAGCATTATAGTGAGGAAAAGTACACTTGCTTTTATCTTGGGAAGGAATATATGAGAATATTCAAATTAACAAAACAATGCAATTGTTAATTGATTCAAATTGTCATTGGATTCTTACTGAATATATAAGAGAGACAAAGTTGATACATTACTTTAAAAAACTCAAATTTATATAGTCAAACTCATCCTGAGATAAATGCATTAATATTCACTGCTTCAGTTTATATGCTGAGTCATAGTATGGTTTGTTTAGTTTCGGATTTGCGTGTTTGGGCATTCATCCATTGTTGTTTGTACACAATTTAGGGCTTAGCATGATAAGTGAACAAAACAAATTAAGACTTTTTTGAGAAAACTTAGTTAAATCATGACTAGCATGGTCCATGAACCCTTTTGTAGGGGAACAAGATGTATATTGTTGCAATAAGCAATGGGAAGGGAATATGTAGAGAAGATGAACACATATTTTTCCTGCTCTCCTGTTTTTGATATATCCCCTATATGTCCAAAGACCCAACTCTGCTTTCTGGCTCACAATAAAGGGGGGAAATGGAATTGTGATGCACAAGTATCTTTTTTCCAACTTGCAAAGAGATCAAGAAAATTATATTGTTCTATAGCAGTAGTATAACCCATGGTACATAATGTGTTCTGAGGCAGATGCTTTTTCCTCCTATATCCTCTGTTTAGCACAACTTTTAAGTGGAATCCAATGCTGGTCTTCCTCTGCTGATGCAAGAGACGTCAGTTCTCTCTTTCTCTGTCTTTCACCTATCCCAAATGTGTTGCAGAAGATTTGAGGAGAGTTTAGAACAGATTTTTAGGAAGGGTATAAGTGCACTCTATTTTTTTAAAAAAATTAATTGTGCATTAAATTGTGTTTTTTTATTTCATTTTCCTCTAAGCAAAACTCTACTTGTGATTAATGTTATATGAATCTGGTATTTATTCCTTGTGTGTGTGTTTGCAGTCTACATAAATATATATCTCTACAAACAGATTTAATATTTTGGCTGTAATCTTTAACATGCCAATTTTTTATTGAGATCAATGAATTCTACTTTTACGTAAGCACAATTTTATTATCTTGAATGTAAGTATAGTTAAATCTGAAAATAAAAGCATGGCCTTATTAATCATAGCAGATGAAAAAATCAGTATTGATAAAATGATCACTGTTTATAAACAATGATATCTTCAAACAGATACGATATCTTCAAAGCCACGTAATTTGTTACTGAATTTAAAAGCTTCCAAGTCATTGCCAAAAAGAGAAGAGGGGGAGCACTACGGAAAACACTCTTAAAAAGATTTTGTTTAAAAAAATGTCCATGAAACGCTCTCTAGAATGCAAATAGGCAACATGATTACATGCTTGATCATGGCAATTTGCTCAGCCAGGAACTGTGATTTACAGAAAGCTTGATCTGAGTGTAATATATATTTTATAATGTGGGTTAAAAATATAATCTGCATGCTTCAATTTTTGAAAATTTGCATTTGGAAGTAATTTATTTTGATGTAATAAAATAAATGTATTCTGAATTATGAGATGCTTGTAAGTCATTGATTTGCTTTATGATTAAGTAGTATATTCACTTTTTTTGTGAGCCCCAGTACATACCCAGGGGCTGGAAAGTTTCAAATGGTAGTTTGATGTTGAAACTGCATTTTCTAAAGTGGCAGTTTTGCTTTGCTTGATTTTGGTGAAGGAGAAGAACAATGCTCATGGTTAGTTTCTGTTTCTTCACATTTTCTTAATATAAATACTTTGGTCATGATTCTCCACATCTTAAACTTTATTCTGAAGACAAAACAATATTTTGGTATATCTTAGTCAAGCAGGTGCTTTTCTCTCATGCCACTGAGAATACTTGTGAGATTCTGTAAAACGTGGCTGGGCTTAAGTATGCTTAGCTGCACTATAGTACTTGGCTCACATTGTGGTTTGTAAACTTAGTTTGTTATGCAAATTGTGGCAGTTGTGGCTTAAGTGCCATGTATCAACCTGGTCACTGAATTCATTTTTAATCATTCTTAAATCCAGAGGGCCTGTCATGAAGCAGCATTAAAAAAAGAGGAAGAGATCCTGAAATCATGACGTTTGAATGGATAGCACATGTCGTGTGCTATCCAGCTTGCACTCAGGACTGTCTTCTCCACAGATTGTTTAGGGACTACCAGTGTTTTAGCAATGTAGTTTGAAAAACCTGCTCTTTGGCTTTCCATAGCCTGTTTACTAATAACCAGGAATTGAATACGTTTGTTTACTTGGCCCCAAGTACCTCCATAAAGAGTTAGTGAGCGGATTAGAAATATATTTAATGATCCTTTAACGGAATTATCCCCTCCAGTTTAGGCAGGAGACCTAAAGATGAAGAATGCAGCGAAAGAATCAAAGCATCGGAGGAAGGAGATGGCCCACCTGGCAATACAGCACAGAACAGCGATGCAAAGTCCAAAGCAGTTAGATCGTTTCTCTTAAATACCGAAGCAGCGATCGCCTACGCGAGTCTGTGCTTGCGCAATAAAAGGAACGGGCCAGCGTCAGGCGGGGCGAGAGCAGTCGAGCCCCCTTTCCCGTGGTTGTCTCGGGCTCCTCGCCTTCCAAGTCCTCCGTCTGGAAGGCAGCCAACCATCTGCCCGAGAAGAGGAGGAGGAAGTGGGCGAGGCGAGCGTGCGTGTTTCGCCTCGCTCGTCTCGCATTACTGCACAAACGGCTCGCGGTGCCTCTCGGCTCGCCTTGAACGGTCTGGTGAGTGCGGCGGAGAGAGGGCTGCTGCTCTGAGCGCAAGGTTTTCCGTTCCTTCTGGTCGTGGGTCCCATCGGATGAACGAGAAGGCCCAGGCTCCGGGTGTTGGCGTACCGGTTGACCAATAATGGGCCGAGGAGTGCGGGAGGAGACGGGTGCAGCAGCTGCAGGGGAAGTGACTTGGAGTGGTCCTGCTAATGGAGCTGGGATGGTGTTATGTACTGAACACGCTCTTGCTTGCAATTTCTGCAGATCTTTCTGATTTTACCGATTTTTTTCTCAGTCATCAGCAAGGTAACGCTCCCCTCTCATTTGCAGCTTGTTGAAATGGTCCAGTTCATGTTAGCTGGGGTGAAGTAAAAAATGATGCAATGAAATTGATCAAGCTAATAGGTGACTGAACTGAGCTTGATCGGGTTGTTTTACCTTTGGGTGCAGTGACCGCTTTAGAATCTCTTTTATCTGTGTCTTTATGCTTCCTGTAACTGTCTTCCACACAAGGAAAACAGTTTTCTATAGCTGGTCATATTATATTTATTCCTTTATCATCCAATAGCTCAGAGGTCCAAATTCCACTTTCAGTGGGCAGTGAATGGACTTATGATGAAATGGACTTAAATGCAACCTTGGGACATCTGAAATTGATGGGGAGGGGAATGTTAGCCTTACTCTAACTAGGGCCCCCCCCCCCCCCCGCTTCTGACATTATTTCTCCTTCTCCACATGCTATTAGATTTAGGGAGGGACAAATAGAGTTTCCAAGTGTCCACAGGAAAATTCAAAAGAATGTTTATAGAGGAGTCTAAAATGGTGAGAACAGTTGGCATCCCAGTTGTATTTCATTTTTCTTTTGCAGCTAAATCCTAGTCAGGAAAGACAAGACTCATAAAAACTAAGAGCCATATTATATCGGAGCAAAGGCCCATCTATTCCATGTCTTGTTTCCCACTATAGCTTGCCATATGCCCTCAAGACACCCACATGCAGAACATAAGAATAGCAGCCATGGCTGTCTGCAGGGGAGCAAATGGGCAGTCTTGCCCCAGATGAAGCAATTATGTCTAGATGATCAGCTGTCATTGAAAAGGTAGACTCCAACCTATCTGGAAACCAAGGTATTTGGCAAAATGCATACGATGTTTTCCTCATGTTGTCCTTTCTTTTAAGTGTACTGTACTTAGGCAGCGAACAAACAGTCTAGCCATTATTGTCTGAAGTTTAGAGGCATTTATTTTAAGGAAAAAACTTATTTGGTAGGAAATGATTGCTGAATGATTTTCTAAAATAATTTAGAAAAGCTAGTGAAGACTATTATATTTTAATTCTAAATGTTTTTGCATTGGTATAGAATGTAAGGCTTGGAAAGTATTGAAAATATAAATTGCAGTATTCATATACAATTAGTTAAGAAGCCTAATGGATGACATTTTGTCCTGGTTAGATTTTTGGAAGAACACTTTTGAATGATAGAATTGTGCCTTGGGACTTCAGGCCTTGAACTGATGTTTGTTGTTACTAACTTTGGACTGCCAAATGGGGAATTTGACATTATTAGTAGGTCATCATTGTTCTAAGACACATGAGACATATTCTGAAGGAACCAGTTGTAGTCTGCCAAATTTGTCACATTCAAAATGATGGGGTTCTTGGAAGGTCATCATCATGTCTCAGTGCAGATATTCATTAGATTATGAATGGGCAGCCATGAGCTCTCAGACACTTTTTTTTTCTGATCCATGAGGATTTTTATATGTTGATTTGTTCTTCCCTTGTTCATGCATGTGTTTACTTCACAACGTGGAATATCTTTTGGAGTCTCATATAATATCTCTAAAACATTTATCTAATATGTGTATTAGTTCATATGCAGATTTTTTTGAATTGTAGGACATGTACTTCATTTAATGGAACTGGCAGTCTGGCAGGGAAAGAATCAATAAAGTCATGATGTAAATGTCTCTGCTGGGAGAAGTCCAGCTCTTAGATTCTGTGCTTCTGGTTATTCACCAGATTGTGGCTGATAGGTCACTTGGATGTTCATGAGGGAAGGTTGCTTTCCTTTTCTGCAGTAAGATAGTGAGACATCACTCCTTTGTTTTAAAAAAAACATCTCCATATTGCACTCCCTATAAATCTGGGAAAGAAATTAATTTGGTTTTTTTCAGGCTATCAGATTTACCACTAGAAAATGCTGGGAAGTGTAGGAAATAGCACTAGGTCAACCACTAATGTAAAACAAAAGTCTTGAAGAATCAGTCCAAGACTATTTTTGCATTTGCTTAAATGGTGCATCAGTTGTCAAGACAGGTATTGTTTGAAACAAAAACATAATTCTAGGCAATACATTCCTTTTTATCACAGAAATTCCCCCAGCAATGATAACTGTAATTTTCCCCATCTTAACATATCCTTAATTTCTAAAGGGTCTTCTAAGATTACAACCAAATGTCCTTAGTTTACATATTTCTCTTCTCTCCAGCAATTTTCTCATCCTGTCTATAGTCTCTGTTCAGACCTTCAAGAGCTAGAATGAATAACAACAGTGATAATGGGCATCCTTGTCTAGTCCCTTTCAGTATCTCACAGGGTTTTGTTAATTCTCCATTAACAATTATCTGTGCCTTTTGTGAAATCCATTTCACCCATTTAATGAAGTTCTCTCCAAAATCCTTATCTTCCAAAACTTTAAACAAAAATGTCTAGTTCAAGTTGTCAGTTGTCTTTTCTGAGTCAAGAAAGATCAATACAGCTTGTTTTTTATTATGTTGTTCTAAATATTCCAAAATGTCAAGAACATTTCTAATACAGTAGAGTTTCGCTTATCCGACATAAACGGGCCAGCAGAACGTCGGATAAGCGAAAATGTCGGATAATAGGGAGGAATTAAGAAAAAGCCTATTAAATGTCATAGGCTAGACGCGTGCACCTGCTGCACCTGTTGCAATCGATTTTTGCATTGCAGCGCCGCACCATCAGGAGCAATAAGAAAGAGTACACTCAGACTCGCATACAAGTGGCACACTTTTCTCGTCGCCGATTTATGTGTGTTGTGTTTTTTTTTAGGGGCGTTGGATAAGACGGAATGTCAGATAAGCGAAGGTCGGTTAAACGAGACTCTCCTATATTATCTTTTAACTGTCTCTTAGGTAAAAACCCACATTGATCTTCATGAATAAAGTCCTGCAAAAATATTTTCATCTATTCAGCTAGAATCATCGTAAATACCTTATAGTCGTTGTTCAATAATGATATTGGTTGATAGTTTTTTGGTAAAGTCAAGTCTTGACCTTCTTTAGGTATTAATGCTATATTTGCATCTATCCAACTATCTAGTATCTTTCCATTGTCTAAAATAGAATTCATCACTTTTTGCAAAGGTTGTAATAATTCATCCTCAAAATATTTATAATAAGAAGCTGCAAGCCATCTGGTCCAGGTGCTTTCCCTATTTTGGTCTTTTTTATGGCTTCACAAACAACCCATATTGTTATAGGTCCATTCATCATTCGCTTCTGGTTTTCAGTTATCTTTGGTAAATTCTGTTAAATTTAAATTGTGTTAAATATTCATCAACCTTTGCTGGGATTGAGATTTCTTCCCCCTTGTATAATTTTGAATAGTATTGTTGAAATATTATTTTCTTGTGTTATCTGTTGTCATAATTTTCCCCTTGAAATTTTAATATAATTTTTTTTCTCCTTTTCTTTTTATAATTTATACACCAACCATTTCCCCGGCTTATTTGCAAACTTGATTTTTTTTTGTTTTGCATAATTCACTTTTATTTCCATTTCTCTTACTGTTAACATAGATAAATGCCATTGTAAAAGTTTAATTTATTGCAAAATAGTATATTTTCCAGAGATCTCTTAAATTCTTTTCATTTTTATATCCATTAAAATCCATGTTTATATGGCAAGGGAAAAAAACAAGAGTTAAACTTAAAATCCTCTAAGTTGCAAAGGAACGAGGAGGATTGGGATTGCCTGATTTTAGATTTTATTTTGCAGCCTGCTGTTTAGTTTGGATGAAACGGTGGGTGCTTCTGAGAAATAAAAGGATGTTAGAATTAGAACCTGAGGTTTGGGTGGCATGACTTCCTATGGTACAATAAAGTTAAAGTAAATGTAGATTTTAAAAATCATTATAGGAATATCATATTGAGAGTATGGAATAAATATAAGCCCAGGTTGTGCTGGAAGATGCCTTTGTTAGTTTTAGCACAAGAAGCATTTTATAGAAAAGAAACAGATGGTAAAAAGAAATGGTTAATATATCAAGATGTGTTATAGGAACATGGCAAACGCAAAATGAAATCAAGAGAACAGTTAGTTGCAGAGGGATTTAGCTTTCACTGGTTCTCATATATACAATTAAAAGAAAGGTTTAATCTAAATAAAAAGATAACAGGAATTGAATTATACAAAACAGAATTCAAGACTGTATTATGTACAAACAACGAACATGTGATTGCTAAAATATATAAGCTTTTATTGAAATTTGAAACAGAAGAAGAAGAAGTTAAAGAGTGCATGATCAAATGGGCCAAGAATTTTGGTCATAATATACAGATGCACCAATGAGAGAAGATGTGGCTAAAAGGACTGAAATTTACACTATGCTATAACTTAAGAGAGAATTATTACAAAATGATGTACCGCTGGTATATATGGTATATATGTTCTGTATTTTTCTTTTCCTTTTCTTTGAATCTGTATGTTTGCTTTTATTAACATATAAAATCTTTTAATAAAAGATTTAATAAAAATTATAATAAAAATTATTTTATAACTTAATAAAAGTTATAAAAGAAAGAAGAATCAAAGACTATTTAATATAATCTCCATTTTTAGTTATGCCAACAAAATAATTCCTAATAGATTACTTTCATTTATAGTCATGCCCTCCTGGAGAAAAATTCTAAATATAGATGTTTTGTTTATTTTTCCTTAAGGAAAGATGCTCCCAAACTTCAAAATGTGTAGATTTCTAGGATGTTCTTGCTTCTGTGGGTTTTTTCTTTTCTTTTCTTTTTTTGTCACATTTATATTCAGGGTTTGTTGTTTTGTTTTACTCTTTGTATTAAAAAAAATCTGCAACAAAGCATTATTCCTGCAATTGGCTAAGGTTAGTCTCATGATAAAGGGAGAAGGCATCTGAAAACTAAAGATTACCAATCAGGATCCATTCACAGCTGTTTAAAACTGGTTTAACCTGATTCTCATAAGAACCTAAGCAGTGCCCTACTGGATTGGACCCCTGGCCCATCTAGTCTAGCAATCTGTTCTCACAGTGGCTGACAAACTGCATAAGGAAGCCTACCAATTTCCCTGCAGATGGCCTTCAGTGGCAGTCACATTGCCATCAATAGCCATTGATCCCCATGACTTCTATGAATTGGTCCAACTCCGTTTTAAAGCCAGCCAAGCTGGTAGCCAGCACCACATCTCATGGTAGAAAATTCCAAAGTTTGATTGTATAAAAAGAAAATTCCTTTTGTCTGTCCTAGAGATGTAAAATTTCTGGAAATTTTGAAGCCATGAGAAAAAACCGTTTTTTCCCGTTTTTTTCTGGAAAAAATAGAAATTTTGGAAAAATTGAAAAAAAAGTTCAGTGTGGAGTAGTTTTACAAACTGCGTGAAATGCAGTGTATATAAAAGTATTATGCTTGCAATAAAACAGGTACCCCTCTTTCCTTCAAAAGCAACAAAAAAAGCAAGAAACCATCAACATAAAAAATCATCCGCTTTGCCCCTTAGCGCCAACGGCAAATAAAGTTAAGGTCCACCTCAATATCGAAGCTCCATAGAAGGTCTACTCATTGAGTGGTGCTTTAAAGAAAAGAAGCAGAAGACACAAGATATACGTGCAGTTTTTTTCTGTCTCTTTTTCGGAATTGCTGCCGTCATTTTCCGTTTCTTCCTCCTCTTCTTCTTTGTCGTTTTTCTCATGGACTAAAAACCTGTATGCTAAGTATCCTGGATCATCAGATTCACATTATATGATAAGGAACTCATTCATCTT